GCTTTAGAATATCGATACAGTATCAGGAAATGAAATATCGCAATATTTCAGTGTATCAATATTTTCTTACACCCCTAGCACACGCACACTTTATAGAGGTTCACAGGGAAAACAAGTTCATTGAAAAAAAAACAAATCTCTAGATTTAGAAGTGGAAACAATCCTGAGTTATTTATATACGTATATGTGTGTGTGTGTGTGTGTGTGTATACGTATATGTGTGTGTGTGTGTGTGTGTGTGTGTGTGTGTGTAATGATATTGAACAGAGTGATCTATATATTTTAATTCAAGTTCTTCAAAGAGACACCCCATAAAATCTAAAATACTCTGTATAGCACTCTCTTTTAAGGGAGTAAAGTCTTGCACATCAACACAACACACCTCGTTATCAGCAGAGCTGCAATTACTGTCATAACATCAGGCTTTTATGGAAAGGGGATAGAGATGTCATGACACATTAAGTACCCTTGTGATAACTCCATCATCACAGGGGGAGAAAGAAAAACAGATAGAGGATTAAAGGTTGAAGGGTTTGAAGACGACATGGTTGCACTGACTTACGTAAGATATACTCGGAGCTGTCGGTATCGTAGTCATTATCCTCTGGAAAGTGATTGATCCGAAAACAGCTTCCTTTGTTGATCCCTGTGGAGAAGCCAAAATCACGGTGAGTTTTGGTTGCGACTCATTAACAGGAGTCAATGGAAATATTACTTCTTTGTTTTAAGGTTTGACAGGAATAGATAAGATAAAATCTAATAAAGTGTTGACACATTTTAATCAGTTCTTAATCGACGTGCACTACGATGATCCTCATGAGTCGTTAAGGCGAAATGTCCTGTTCCCTCTTTGTTATGTTGAGGAGAAGCTCTGAGTGTTTTAGACCCACAGGCACTGTTCATGTACTCTAAAATCCAATGTTTTCACATAGAAAACATTCCCTTAAACTTTTAAGAGAATAAAACATTGTGGGATTATAAATATTGTAAGGTTCGGCTTTCAACTCCAACTTTGACTCAGCTTTTGCTGCAAAACCCTGTCACTTCTGCCTTTGTTATCTGTTTGATAACTGTGGAGCACTGCTTACACAAAGTTAGTGTCCTAGTGCCGCAAGTAGCACATGCATGACCTTATAAGCATGCATAAAAAACCCGGATTGAGATGCAGACTTAAAAACCTCCCTGGCTAAAAAAATAAAATAAAAACAAAATAAAATAAATATCTTGAGCCCTATGTCAAACAGCATTTCTCGTTTTCTATTTCTTTTCACTTCAGTTAACTTAAGATCTGTCAGTTCTGGACACATTTAATATCAATAGAAACCTAAGAATCTTGGCTAAAAGCTCATGGAAACTGTTTTTACATTCACCAAACAGTTCAAATGTCAAGCAGTTGAATCAGAAAGTAGACAAACTGTACAAAGTGGCATCATTGCAAATCTATAAAAGAAAGATTTTTGACATTTTTTAAAGCAAGTCAAATGTGGTAAAGTGTGTTGAGATTTTTTTACTTGATTTTGAGTAAATTTGGTCCAACTGAAGTCAAATATAATTTCTCATTGTTTTATCCAATGATGGTACCAACATGATCTGTCCTGTGCAGAATGACAAAATGCCAAATTATTTCTTCACTGAAACATCTGTAACTTTACTCTAGTTTATTTTAGCAGCATGAATCTTTGCACAGGCAATTTCCACAAGTGGATTTATGGTTTCCACGAGTTTTTAGCCTGATTCATTATGGTTTTAAATGGGTTGTATACTGTCTAATGCAAAAATTCTTCTGACAGAAGGTGAAAAGATTTTTTTTAAATATTCTGTTCTTTCCCCAATATCTCTAAAACAACAGCAGTTGTTTTAATACACTTCTGATGAAATTTCCCAAGTGTTAGCTTTATTTTGAGATTATTTAAATAGAGTTTGTAAATGCTGAGATACACTCAGTTATATTTTGGCAAGGTATTTCAAGCAAAAACATCACAAAAACCCTTGGAGCTGAAGAGGTTGATAAAAGAGACAAAGTGTTGGGCTCAATCACAATCTAAAACACCATAATAATAATAATAATAATAATAATAATAATAATAAACATGCATCCTTGAATATTGTCTTAATAAATCAGTTTCATGTAACAATTACAAAAAAGGTAGAGAAAATTTGTCCTTATATGGCAACTAATGGTTAAACTTAAATGTTAAAATAATTAGAAAGTGTGAAACTTTTGTTTTTGACTAATTAGAAAAACTGAGGACACAAGCACAGATTTGTTTTCATAAACATTTTAATAATGCTTGATTGTTAAATACAGAGATTATTATTTGTTTTTACAAAGCTTCTCCTGAACAGTTTCCACAAATCTACCAATCTGGGTTTGAAACAACTCCATTAGTGCGAAGCATCTGTCTCTGTCCTCTGTGGAGATATTAAAGCTGAGTCATAACATGAATTATTGTTGTCGCAAATTAAACATCCCCTCTTTTCGCACCAACTCACAGGTCTCAACAGTAACACAGAGAAAAATAATCATCTGAAAGCTCTTTATAAATGAAGCATACTGCCAACAAGCAAGTTAATTAGTTTTGTTTGTTTGTCTGTTAGTAAAATATCACAATAATTTGTGGATGTATTTAACTCTTTGATGCAAAACATGGGTCAAAAGTGACCCGGCTGAGTTTTCATCTTCTATATCTTTGCAATAAATTAATTTCATCATCCAGTATTCAAGGAATTCCTCAATTAACTTGTTTTTCATCATCATACATCATTATTTTATTTTTTACTTTTTTGCTTTTTGAATAAAAACTGTTTTTGTGTCACTATCCTTTAAATGCACAACATGGTCAAAAATGACCCGCATTCATTTTCCGGGTTACTTCATGAATGTTTGAGTGTTTCTATGATGTACTTTTGAAATAGATAAATTTTATGATTTAATTTTCCAAATGTGTAGTAAATATCTTGTTTTTGTTTAGCACAAGTCATCATTTTTATTTTTCCTTTCTTAAGTTATGAACAAGCACAGCTTTTGTAATTCTACATCGAGTTCACACACATGGGTCAGAAATGACCCGCATGCATTTACTACAGCATTTGGTGGGAACTGTCAATTGTTCTTGTGTCAGATATTTATTTCACAACTCAGCACAGCACCTTTACCCATCTAACATATGTAAATATTGTTTTACACTTGTGCTAACATTACCTTAGAAATAATTTGATTAATTTTAGGTTACCTTGAGAGTCAGTTAATTTACTTGTTAGAAAGTTTCAAGTAATTACTGTTAGCTAACTAGCTGCTGACACATTCTACTTTAGTTAGCTAATTATATTGTAGTTGGCTTAGATAACTAAGTGGATTGCTACGCTACTAAGCAAAGTAGTTAGCGAAGCTACGTAGCAAAGTCAGCAAAATATAGCTATATGTTTTTATGTATTTTGGTGTGCATCTGAAATTTCTTTTGTCCTTATGACTTTCTTTATCCAGAGGATGGCTGCTCGTTTTACTGATGGGCTGTAGCAATGCTGCAGGAAGAACCAGATGTGGAAGATGAGGACGAAATTTGTCCTGTTTCAGAGTCAGAAACCTCTGATGATGATGACAGGGTCAAGCTGGAGTTGTGGATGTGTCTGTGAATCCAGCTCTATTGTATGCAGAAGACTCATCTGATGATGCAGAAGACTCATCTGATGATGCAGAAGACTCATCTGATGATGCAGAAGACTCATCTGATGATGCAGAAGACTCATCTGATGAGCCCTTTGAAGAGGAAACTCAGATTCAGTCCAATAGATTCAGTAAAAATGGATCTGACTGGAATGAAAATTCTTCCACTTATGGCAAAACAAGCCATAATATTCTGAGGAACTGCCCAGGACCTACACCTGGATCCAGAGTTGTTTCACCAAAAGATGCCTGGAATATGCTCCCAGTGCACCAGGCCTGTGTGCAAAGAGCACAAACACTTGATTGATTGATTGATTGATTGATTGATTGATTGATTGATTGATTGATTAATTATATACAGCAGGTAAAATAATTATTGAACACATCACCATTTTTCTCAGTAAATATATTACTAGAGGTGCTAATGACATGAAAT